GTTATGGAAAACTAATGAAACTGGATGAAACACATGGAAATGTGGCAAGGCTGGGTCATAGAAACATGGAATGACTTGGGGTTGAAGAGACCTTAAAGATCACCTATATTCCAAGCCTCCTCACCATGGGCCGGTTCACAGGGTGGCGTCCAGCCTGGCCTTAAACACTTCCAGGGATGGGACATCCACAACTTCTCTGGACAACCTGTTCCATTGTCTCACTACCCTCTGAATTTCTTCCTAACAAATAATCTAAACCTCTCCACTTCCATTTTAAACCCATTCCCCTTTGTGCTATCAATGTTTGTCCTTGTAAATAGTCTCTCCTTTTTTAAAGACCCTTTAAAAACCATTGCTGATAGGCTACAAAATTATACTATTATAAATTTGAGAGGAGTTGATTGAACAGACAACAGATAAAGAAGAACTCACACAACAAAACCCCCTGTGGTTTAGCCTTTATTTTGGAAAAACTGAAATGAACCACAAACCCAGCTTATGTTTCTGGAATCCCTGATATTGTGGATCACTGGAGGCCAGAAGTAAACCAAACAAACCAAAACCTGTTACAGGTTACTCAAACTCAGAATCATTCAGTGATCAGGTTAATTGAAGGGATTCACAGGTATCTCACAGACTTGCTCCTGGGTGTGTTTGTCCAGTGTATAAGCACATTCCTTGGATAATCCTTCCCATGGCGCGTGCCTTGCGGCTCAGTGTTGGCTTTGATTTACGTTTTGGTAAATATTGGAAAATTGGAAAATAATTACATTGGAAAATAATTACTCGGGATAGGCTGGGGAATATCACAGTCGCTCACAAATCGTCAGCCCTGCTCAGCTATCAAGGACGTGGTCTCCTGGAAATAGCGATTCCTTCCCATTCCAGCGGGATTTCACCCTCCCGTCCCCACAGCTCCCAAACTAACGCGCCTCTCCAAGCCGTCCTTAGGGATTGATGGTGGGTGGCACCTCCTACCCTGGGAGAGAAGCGCCGAGCACCGCGGACAGTGAGGGCCTCACCACAAAAGGCGACGATGGCCGGTCCCTCAAAACGAAGGGGGAGCTCCTTCCAGCCGATGGGCACAGCCGCCCCAGGCAGCAGCGGCGGTGTGACACCCTGTCCCCTCGCCGGCAGCCGTGTCGCAGGTCACCCATCGCCAGGGGGGCAGCACGGTTCAGGCAGTGCCAGCGCTGTTGCCCTCTCTCTCCTGCATCCCCCGCAGCGATCCCTGACGTTCCCCTTTCTAAGGGTCCCCCAGCTGATGCTCACCCTGCATCCGTGTCCCCTCTCCCCGTGTGGGTGGTGTGACAGTGCGGGGGGAGCAGCTACCCCCGGCAGTTCTCTCCGTGCGGAGCCCAAGCACCGGCACCCCCCGCTGCCACCGGGGACCCCATCCCGGCAGGACCCCATCCCTGCAGGACCCCATCCCGGCGGGACCCCATCCCGGCAGGACCCCATCCCCGCCCCAGGAGCAGCGGCAGCTCACGGAGGGGCTTCCCCCGCGCCCCCCGAGCCGCCTGCAGCGCCGACCCAGCCCGCGGATCTCCTTCCCCCTCTCCCGGAGCCCTTTTCGTTCCGCGGCCATCGTTCCGAGATAGCAAACGTAGAGGAGAATTTCCTCTATTAAAAAAACAAAACAAAACCCCAAAAAAGAGAGGGGTGCAAAAAGTCGGGGAGGGGAGCTAGTTTAAAGTGCTGGGATTAAAGGTCTGTGCTAGTTTCAAGCGCTCATAAAACGGCCTTAAGGATGCTATTTTGCTGCAGTCTAGGTTATTTCAGCCCACAGTTGCACAACAAACCATTTAAACATTTCAGCACAAAACAGATTCCATTGTTAAGCTGCACATTAAAAAGTGTTATTCGCTTTGAAGTTTTTGTCTAATGGCTCTAAACTGAAAGAAAATGTTTTCCTATTACTTAATTCAATCATAGCGAAGAGGCTTGGTAAAAAGCCCACGGATTTTGCCCAAAGTGTGACAGAGTTCTCTTTGTGTTTGCTTATCCTCTGCTGTCACACACTTTAATTCGCCTCTCTTTATCTGGCATTCAAAACTTTCTTCAATGACATTCAATAAGGTCCAGCGGCTGGAAAAAAAAACTGGTTATTTTTTTGGATATTCTTTCCCAGTAGCTTTGGGCTTGGTGTGCATTCAGAAGCTGTTAACCCTTTGCCTCCCTGCGGCTCGGAGCCCCGGGGTTCAGCCTCTGGGCAGCGGGAATCCCTCGGAATAAGGCTGAATCCACCACCCCCGGTGGCGAGCCACTTCTCAGCGGGGAAAAATGCCCCTTCCCGGGACCCGGCTCCGGCGGAAAATGTTTTAAAATACCTTTTCCTTAAAAATCAAAAAGAAAAATCCAAACCCTATTAACACTTTCAGGGAAAGGACACTTGGAAATCCTTTCTATATCATCGCGGGACTGAGTTTTTATTAACATTCGTTTTTGTTCGTTCTGTAATTTCTACCGTTCATTTGTGCATATCAGTATATTTTTTGTCTCGGGCATCAATAATCTCTCGGCAAAACTCCCGTGGATTGCTGTAAGAATTGTGACCACAGGCAAAACAACCTCTGCACAGCCCTGAGACACGGAGTACACCACGTTCAAGGCTTTTTCTTCCTTTCCCCCTTTTTTCCCCTCCTTTCAAAAAGTCCGTTTGGTTTCGAGGCGGGGAGGTTACTGTAGGGACCAATCTCCCCACGTTTTGACAGGGGTCGGAGGGTGCGTTTGTCTTTTTATTGCCCGTGTATTAAACGGGAAAATCGGGGTAGAATATGTATCCCCACGAATTATTTCTTTTTCCTATTTGTTGACATTCCTTATTCCCCTACTGAACCAAGGAGCTCCGAGGAGCGCGGCTCGGGAGC